GTTGTATGGTATTTATTGTTTTTTTTAAGTATGAAGCTGATTGGTCAGTTCTCATCATGTGACTCAGTGCACTTGCGGCATTCTGAGAAGTTGCGCATGGAAAAGATACAATATGTGAACGGCCGCCATCATTTGGGATCTCCAGCAGTTGATTTTTTTCTTGCACAGACATGGTCCACCTGATTTGTTGACAAATGGGTTGCGGATCCACTCCTTGGCAGTTCCTTCACTGGGCATTTTCCCTTCGCAAAGAAACTTTCCATTAACATCTGTTTTCTACTAATTTGCTAGCTTGTGGGTTAAATTTTGGCACTCAAGTGACTGAAATGTAACCCAGAGAATACGTTAATTTTTCAAAATAAAATATTTTTTTAAATAAAAGATCGTTCCAATGTATAAAACAAATAAAACTGAAATAATCAATGATTTCTTGTGCGGCCCAGTAGGATTGAGGACCACTGCTGTAAATGAACTTTGTGTGGACGATCTGACTCTAAACTCTCAATGACCTTGCAGAGGAACACTGAGATGCTTCTATAATAATGGAAGATAATGAAGAAACTCTTTTCTTCAAAATAGGTGATATATGCAAAGTAAGACAGGGAACGTTTTTAAAGTAATTTTTGGTTGATAATTTAGATGTCACGTTGATCTCAAGTGCCATGAGAGAATGAGTTATCGGGATAGTCATTTACTCACCCTTCACTTGTTCCAAACCTGTTTGACTTTCTTTCTCCCGTTAAACAAAAAAGAAGATGTTCTGAAGAAAGCTGGGGACCTGCAATCATTGACTTCAATAGTATTTGTTTTTTGTTCTACGAAAGTCAATGATTACAGGTTTTAAGATTTCTTCAGAATATTGACAACTTGAGGGAGAGCAAATAGTGAGTACATTTTCATTTTTCTGGAAACTATCCCTTTAATGGGAGACCAGTTGCTGGTGGAATACACACAGAACCGTTTCCAAGTATGGTACTTTAGAACTTGCCTTAAAGCTGCCTTTAATTAGTCATCTCTGCCATTCATCTGAAATGCAGCTAACACACAAGGATGTACTTGCAGCTATGAATAAGAAAGACTGCAAAACGGGACTCCTAGAGTGTTGCCTAGATTCATCTGGACTGACAAAGTGCAGACTGTTCACAGTCTCTTAGCAGCCACTTCATGCGCTGGTCTAGGTAGCAGCACTCCCACGCTCGGGGTCAGACTCTTGCAGGACAGATCCGTGATAACACAGCTCAAAACATTCAGTGTGGAGTTGAGATGAAAACAGTGAACTCCAGGGCCTTCTGTGCCGGCACATTAGCTTGCTGCACTGATGTTCTAATCTAATTTGGCCACATGCTGGCAGTGCGGTCTGTTTAACAGGCAGCTAGAGGAAGAGCGAACAGTGAGAAATGCTGTAAAGATGGGAACATCCTCTGTCAGCAAAGCTCTGGGTGTGCCTCAGTCAAGAGATTAGAGCCACTTTATAGCCATTAGTCACCTTCCAGTGGAACAGGGCAGTCATGACTGTTCTGAAGCAATTGGGCACAGAGGCTACAGGATTACAATTTATTTTAAGAACTTCTACTATTTCTAGTTACTAGTTTCATGACTAGTTGATGCATCTCAGTTAGTTTGTTTGAAGTTCAGGAGCGAGAGTCCAAATCCTTTCATTCAAATGTAAAAAACAGTGAATTAAAACTGTCAAAACATTCTCTAGAAGAAGGGGTATTCAATTATGGGGGCCACTGCTGTGCATATATCAGAAAAAAAAAATTTCAAGACCTCTGCAAGAAGTTTCATTATTAAAGATTTAATGTTATTGCAGCAAGAGAATGATACAGAGAAAAGACAGAAAAAGAGCTTTCATTCTGGTTGCTCAAAGGACAGTTCTTTGAGGCCAGTATGGGGTAAATGCAGATGATTTACTCCTTTGCCTTGTCTTTAACCATTGGTCTAAACCAGGGGTCACCAACCTTAATGAAACTGAGAGCTACTTCTTGGGTACCGATCAATGTGGAGGGCTACCAGTTTGATAAACACTTCTCAAATAACAAATTTCAACAATGATTTAACAAGGTAGGAAATACCCTGTATTTAATGTATCAATGTGCAACACTTTATTTTTTTTATATATCTCTGCAAATATTAACATTTTTAAATGATTACTTCTATTTAAGATGGAGCTAATTGGTAAGTGGCACTGTGGTGAGCTATTTTTAGGACAGGCCTGCGGGCAACACATGTGATCCTCGCGGGCTACATGTTGGTGACCCCTGGTCTAAACCATGGGTGACTCGACTTGCCTCGATTAGCTAGTTCAAGTAGTTAAATGGCTAAAGAGCTAAACCAAGGAGGTGGACTGAACACCCCTGAAATATCTTTTAGTCTCAATAGTTATTTATTTATTTTTTCAACTAACAGTCGGCAACACACAAGCTGCCGGTCACCAGGGATGTGCAGAAGTAATGGACAATTGTATGTGGCATGGGAGGCAATTCCTATGCAATGCAACCAGCAAATACACCTAGTATTTCTAAATTCCGGTCCTCCCATGCTGTACTTTTTATACATTTCTCTTTTTACCTCAGATGTTTATTCTAAATCTACAACTGCCCTGCAAAGTGGATTCTAGGACAGAATATTCCACCATAATTAACATTCTGCATGAAATAAACATTTCTCAAGCTCAAGTACAGATCAGTGAAGAAGGAGGCACCAGGGATCAACATACACTGTGTAGGGACTTGTCAGTAAGAACATAGTTCATGCATGGAGTACTTCTATTGAGCTGAACATCTAAATCTGCCATGTTAAATAAGAGAGACATGCAAAATATAAAACACGGGGTGGGGCGCAAGGAAAACCAGGATTGAGAAATGCTGAACTAGTGATTCGCTCTAGTGTTTCCAAACATTAAGTACATTTAAATACTTGCTTGAGGGCTTTGTATGTGTGACATTGGCAGCAAACATGATTCTCTGCCTCTGTTTTTGAATTCAGAATAATTAAGAATGAGGTTTTCCACTACCTTTAGTACAACATGCCATGACAAAAAGCCTGGTCACAAACAGCACACTGTTTTCATCATAACTGTCCTATTTTTCCCATCTCCATCTTTATGGAGACTCTTGATTGACACTGTAATGGAGCTCGTGTGTAAAGAACTGGATGCAAGAACGAGCCTCTGTTTACCCTATAAATGAGCCTGTTTTGCAGCCATTTATAAAGCCCACTGTGATTCCCAAAGATACGAATGGAGACAAGATCTGATACTACACTCTGTACTGTATGCCAGTACACCCTAGCAGCATCTGAGTGAAGATCTGCCTAGTAAAGCTTTAATGTGATTGGCAGATTATATCAGTCTAATAAATCTGGGTTTAGCACAAGGTTGTGAGAACCACAAATTGGTGTTTGTCAAATAAGAGATTTAATTTCGAAAATCTCCAGATGGCTTAAGGTCTTGTTGACAGTTTCAAAGTAAACCTCCCCACAGTTCTGAGTGACAGGCAAGAAATTGAGTCCAAAAATACCAATAAATTGTATTTTAAATATCAGTTCTTAATCTCATTTGAAAGTCTATTAAACCATCTTCCACTATTGACATCCAAATTCATGCAAACAGTTAGACATTTATTATGTTAGTTAGTTGGTTAACGCGCGTTTCGCACGAATCGCTCCAGTTCGAAAATCTGAACTTCAGCGGACATTTGCGCCACGTTAGGAGCTTGCTCTTGTGGGGGCGTAATTGTGACGTATCGCCTGTTGTTGGTGTTTCGGGGGAAATCCTCCAGCCGACATGGACAAAAAGTTCATCAAATTGGGCTTGGCTCAGTCAGAAGCACCGCTGAAAGCCTCCGTCAGCCAGGTTAAGTGTTCAGGTGTTCTGAAGTGAATATAAAGTGCAAATGAAACGAGAAACCTCAAATGTTCATGCGGCTATTTACACATGAATAGCGCGATTTATCCGCGCGTTCCACGTCTGGAGTAAATGCAGCATTACACTGCAAGTAGGTTGGGTGACCTCTAAGTAGGAGGGACTTACGTCACAGGGACTTAAGGTTTAGGTGGTGTAGGTGGAGTAGGCATTAATAAAACACAACAGGTTGCTGTGAGGTTGGGTTTAGGGTTGGGGTAGGTGTAGACAATCATAAAGCACAATACTGGACTCCATGTCATGTACACAACATTAAAAATATTAAAACAAACGTTTGTGCAGTCACTTGGAGCTGGCTCCAACCTTCGCTTATATCCTTTTTTTTTAAAAATGCCTTGAGACCAACAGAAACTTTAGATGAATGAGCAGCGAAAGCCAGCAGATTATAACAAAAGTTTATAACAATATGTTATTATTCCCATTTTCTAAATGTATGCTAATCTCGGCACGTCCATTAAACTTTTAAACTCAAACACAAATATAGCCCTTGACTGCTCAAATGAACTAACCTTGATCATTTGAACCATTCAAATTAACATAATTCAATGATATGCCGGAACATGCTTCTCTTGGAGGATAATTCCTCTATCGATGACGTTATAAGAATGATACTCGCATTCCTAGGTAGTTGGCAGTATGATGTTATATTGCGTTATTCAACAGTGTTGTTCCAAATACAATAAGCATGGCGGTTTTATAGGTCACAAACCTTTACTTAAGAGCAACAGCCACTAGTGGGTTTGTCTGAACCCCGTAATGACTTCATCAACTCGGACTCACACTAGGACTCTGTGGGAGAGCTTTGCGTCTCCATGATGACTGAAATAACTATAGAGAAGCATTCACAAAAAAGAAAGAGAAATGGGGGAGCAAAAGAGGTGAACAGAAAACAAGACCGATATTAACAAGTCAGTCACTGTGAGAGACAGACATTCATTCATTCATCCATCCACATGGAGACAGTCTCAAAAGGAAAGAGCAGACTAAATACTTAATGAAAACTCAGACAGACAAGGACATAGCAGGGGAAATGAGATTGAGAAAGAGATATATATAAAATATGAACGTATCTGACCTGAGATATGTGGTTAATGGAGGACTCCATCCTCCGCAGCTGTGAGGCCTGGATATCCAACAGCTGCAGGACATTGTTGGCTAAGGCATTGATCTGATAGGCCACGCTCGCCAGCGATTGGGTGGTGTAGGCTTTGGTCTCTTCCAAGGCTTTCCTCTTATCCTGGGCCTGCAGGTTATGGTCAGAAAAAAACCTTTCTTTAACTCACATTGTTCAATAATCACATTCACTTTAACTTTACACAGTCTCTGCCTTAGATAGCACACCCACAAACTGCACACGGATGGTCTGGATGAACAACCTAAAGTACATGAAACTGACAAAGTCTTGTCCAATGAATCAAGCAACAGTCTGCTTTGTGTTCTGATTGGCCTTTTGTCCATCAGGGTTTTAAACTCAAGGAATTTAAATGAGAAAAAGGAAACAATGGTGTCTGAGGCTCACAGTATGCCTATTTCCATATACTGATCTCTTATTATTTGAGCCTAGGTATACCCAGATTCTCTTTGTAGGACATGTTAAAACATTGCATAAGGTCACGCTCACAGTGACTGGATGGTGTAGGCTTTAGTCGCCTCCAAGGCATTCCTCTTTTCCTGGGACTGCAGGTCACAGTCAGAAAAAAACCTTTCTTTAACTTACATGTTCCCAATAACCGCTTTCACTTTAACTATACAGTCTCTGCCTCAGATAAGCACACTCACAAACTGCCCATGGACGGTCTAGATGAATGACCTAAAGTAAATGCAAATGATGAAGGCTTGCCTCATGAGTCACGCAACAGTCTGCTTTGTGGTCTGATTGGCGTTTTGTCCACCGGGGTTAAACACTCTTGGAATTTAAATGAGAATGAGGAAACAATGGTGTCTGAGGCTCACAGTATGCCCATTTCCATATACTGATCTCTTATTATTTGGTTATGCCAGGGTATACCCAGATTCTCTTTATAGGGCACATTTAAACATTGCATAAGGCCATGTTTGCAAACGACTGAGTGGTGTAGGCTTTGGTCGCCTCCAAGGCTTTCCTCTTATCCTGTACCTGCAGGTCATGGTTAGAAAGACACCTTTCTTTAACTTATATTTTCTCAATAACTGCATTCACTTTAAATATAAACAGTCTCTGCCTTAGGTAAGTATACCCACATACTGTCTGGATGAATGACCTAAAGTACATACAAATGATGAAGGCTTGCCTCATGAGTCATGCAACAGTCTGCTTTGTGTACTAATTGGCCTTTTGTCCACTGGGGTTTAACACTCATGGTATTTAAATGAGAACGAGGAAACAATGGTGTCCGAGGCTCACAGTATGCCCATTTCCATAGACTGATCTTTTATTATTTGATAATGCCTAGGTATACCCAGATTCTCGTTATAGGGCACCTTTAAGCATTGCATAAGGCCACGCTTGCCAGCGACTGGGTGGTGTAGGCTTTGGTTTTCTCTAAGATCTTCCTCTTATCTTGTGCCTACAGGTCTACACCTTTCTTTAACTCACATTTTCTCAATATCAGCATTCACTTTATCTATACACAGTCTCTTCCTTAGATAAGCACACCCACAAACTGCCCACGGACTGTCTGATACATTTTGCAAAGAAAATATCTGGCTAAAAGTATTCCATTCCAATCTCACTGCCTGATGTCTATGCAACTTCCAATTTTAAATGCTTTTTACCAGTATGGGCAATACAAAGTGAGAGTATCAATGTTCTACAAGCCAATGTAGCCAATGTGGGCCATTTGATATAATAAATTGCTTACGCCTCAGAAGAGGAAGACGAAAGACAACGAACAAGCGGTGAGTCATGAAAGTCTTATTGAATAAAAAGTTTAATAAAAATCTCCAGAAATGGCTTTATATGTTCATATATTACTCCATAAAATACAGTTATAATTTGAAGGTCCACAATTGACCATATTTGGATTGCTCGTGAACAATAAATCAATAAAAGATACCATAAAACATACCTAATGCATTTTTAGCGTGGAGCTGAATAAATGTATAATTTGTAAATACAGCATTTTCTGTCCTGACACGAGTTTGAGTCATGCTCAGTCATTGCTCAGTAACAAATAGTAAACAATCTTTGTCTCTCTTTTTCAAAATAAAAGTCCCACATACATAGCTAGTTAAATATAAACTTAAAAAATAAACAAGGGAGGAAAGTGATCATTGTTGTTTCACTAGGAAATGCTAAGGCATGCATATTAATAATCCTAGAGCAACATTTCAATCTGCGATCTCCCGATGATGCAGCTGCTCGTTAGGTCTAGATAAACAACCTAAATTACATGCAAATGTTGAGAGCATGGCCTGTGAGTCACGCAACAGTCTGCTTTGTATTCTGATTGGCCTTTTGTACGCTCTCAAGGAATTTACATGAGAATGAGGAAACAATGTTGTCTGAGGCTCAAGATATCCCCATTTCCATATCCTAGGTATGCCAGATTTTCTTTACATGGCATTATTTAAGCATTTCTTATGCAATATTTCAAAATGTGCAAAACAGGTGGACGGAAACAAAGCTAGTGCTACTTTGATAGTTGCAAGACTACACTGAACAGGACTGAGGAGAAGCACTACTTTTTACTTCTTTCACCTTTAAACCAAAGTTATGATTTCAAAACTCGTATCCTATCTGCCTATCACAGTTCAATGGCTTCAAGAAGGTATTTTGAGGCTGTTTGAATGAAAGTTAATAAAAACGATCAACCTAATTAAGTGCAAAACTCAAAGTTTCAATTGATCATAATTTCATATAAGTTTGCTGAAGTAGTTAATAGCCAGCAAACAACACATTGAGGTACATATATATTTACAGAGTCAGACTACTACAGCATTGTTTGGATGAGATATTGCCTTGTAATGTGTCCTGTTGCTGTAGTATATTTAATTTCCTGTCTATGTGGGTGGTTCTTGGAAACACAGTTATGTGGAAAAGTTACAGATATTCGCTTAATACAAGAGTTGGGGTCAGGGACCACTAGAGGGCCACAACAAATTTCTAAGGAGCCCTCAAGAAGATTTAAAATAATTCAAAACATGCATTTTAATAACTTAAAGCAACTGTATTTATTTTTATTTACCCCTAACTTAGAACCAGGGCTCCTACTGTCTACAGATTTTATTAAAACACTATTTAGTGTAATTATTCCCATCATTGCATTGTTTATTTGTATATGTTTTGTGAATTTAGTATTGCTGTAAAAAGCTATAATAAAAACACAGTTTATTGTATGTAGGTTCTATACACACACAAGTTATTATCAGACTATAAAAAGGTGGAAATAGCATCACCTTCGCTTTGCATGTAAAAGGCAAACCTGTTCGGAAAACAAAAAGATAAATCTGCATCAACCACAACCGCACAGTACTGAAACTCTGGGTTTTTAAATGTGGTAATTTCTCAGTTCTCTATTTGGCCTACCTGTGGTAAACCATGATCTTACAGAGGTAAATTGCCACTCATGCACGGCCTATAAACCTGACACATATGCAGATGGAACTTTTACAAAAGCACCTAACAAGGGAACCATGGTCTCAATTTCAAAAATGTTACTTTTTATAGAAAGGTAATGGGGATGGCAAAGGGGCTGGTTCACCTCAAAAATAAAAATTGCTTTTAATTTCAGCTTCCGGTCGTTTTAAGATATAAAATATTAAAAAAGATTTTTATCTGAAACAGTGGTGCTTTATGATTAGTTGTGCGATGATTAGTTATTATGATTAAAGTGCAATTCGGAAGCTCTGTCTAAAATAAAATAAAATAAAATAAAATAAAATAAAATAAAATAAAATAAAATAATAAAGTAAAATATTTAAAAAATAAAATAAAATAAAATAAAATAAAAAATAAAATAATAAAATAATGAAATAAAATTAAGTTAAAATAATAAGGTAAAATAATAAAACAAAACAAATAAAAAATTGAATAAAGTAATAAAATTAAATGAAATAATAAAAAATTTAATAAAACAATAAAATAAAAAATAAAGTAAAATAACACATACATAAATAATTAATAACATAAAATAATAAAATAAAATACAATAATATAATAAAATAATATAATAAAATAATAAAATGAAATAATAAAATAAAATAATAAAGTAAAATAATAAAAATAAATGAACTAAAAAATAATATAATACAAAAATAAAATAATAAAATAAAATAATAAATATTAATATAAAATAATAAAATAAATTAAAATGATAAAATAACAAAATAAAATAGAATATATATATATATATATATATATATATATATATATATATATATATATATATATATATATATATGTGTGTGTGTGTGTGTGTGTATGTATGTATGTATGTATGTATGTATATATATATACACACACACACACACACACACACACACACACACACACACACACAGGTAAAACAACATTATTAACTGTGGCCTGTGACCTATTTTTATTGTAATTCAGACTGAAAACCTGAATCTGTTTTTAAGAAGGAATACGTGGACCAGATGTGTTACAGAAATGCTGCTTGACAGAATGAAGAAGTACTTCCTCCAGAAAAAAAGACTCTTGTTTGTATAAGTGCATGAACCAAGCAAAACTCTTTCACACATGGGGAGTATGACTCTATAAGCATTTAAATTGATTGCAAATTAAGTGGTGAAGTTATGCAATAATATTATTTTACAGATGTTAGACTGAAAAAATGAAGCAGAGTCATTCTTGGGTCAAAGGTCAGGCTATTTTAAGCAAGTGTTTGGCGAGAGAAATGGGCATTGTTGCACTGGACACATTCCTCCCAGAGTTTTGCTTCAAAAAGTGCTGAATTCACACATTCTGTAAGGGTTGAAAAGAAGTGTGTGTACATCTAGTCTAGGTCAGAGTGTTGAGCTGAAATTCAACTAAAAGCTGAACATTTTAGACTTCGATTTAATGATGCTGAACAAGATATATCTCCTTTAGCAACTTTAAAAAGGATTGAATGTGCCCTAAAGGCAGGTTGTAAACTCAAATCTCTTAAACAGAGCATTTGGCTCATTTCCAGTCTAGATGCACAGTACAGTTATCAGAATCTGCTGTAATAGATCTTTATGGCCAAATCTGGTTTGTTGCCTATATTTGAAATATATATAATATATATAATATATATATATATAATTTTTTTTTTTTTTTGC